AACTAAAAGATCAAACTACGAAAATTAAATTTTGAAGAAAAAGTATAGAATTAGAAGAAGGAAAGAAAAAGGAAAGTTTCAAACGAGGATTGAATCCGATAACCACCAGAACAACTTCTCAAGTTCGAACCCAAACCCTGATAAACTTTTGACCCACTAAATATCAGACCGGGAATTGATTATCATAACTATAATAAACAATTAAGTTCACAGCGAAAAATAATGTAACAAAAGTTTAATGAAAAGTGAAAAGAAGCTAGTAAAAGAGTCTACTGTGTAAATCATTACCCACAAAAGATTCAGAGTCCTCAGCATCTGGATGAAAATTGCACAAGAATATTATAATAAAACACGATAACTGAGGCCCCACGTTGGGCGCCAAAAAAATCTCTGTAACGATTCTGTCATAAGGTGGTTTGTTTATGAGAACGATGCTACCTAATATTACGGCCGTGCTCGTCGGTGGGGGGGTGAGGTGTGTTCTCATATCAAAAAAAAAAAAAAAAATACTATAAATGAATCAATTACATAGACTTTACTTTAGGTAGCTACTTAAATAAATGATCCACAAAGACAAGAGATGAAGAAGATGCGGTAAAGGTATTAGTGTAGCTGTTGATGGTATTTGCTACACTCTTCCAAAGCCCTCCCTCCATGCTGACAAATATTAGAGTTGATTGTCAGCCCAATAAAAATAAACAAAAAAAATTAACTAAATCAACCTAACCCATACCCTTGACTTAACTTTTCATGATAATAAACAAAATTTATGATTTCATATTGAATATTATAATTATATATTGTAATATTTATTAAAATTAAATTATGATAATAATTAAGTAAAGTTAAAGTTAAATGAATTAGTTTAATTAAATTTTATTACATACATATATGTATTTAAAAAAATCAAAGGTGGTCACCTTAATTTAGGCAAATGGAAATTTTATATTGAAATTCTATTCAAAAGAAATTATTTAAGAAAATATCATGATATAAGGTGACTTTGTATTCAAAATGTTATAATATTAAATTATCAAATTTAGGGATTTTGTAATAAAAATAATATGAACATTTAATATATTAAATTAAATATGACATACAAATTAATGTACAATGGCAACTCTGGTTGCAAAATGAAAAATTAATATAATGATAATTTTGTTCATATTACTTTATAAGTATGTATGTGTGTATTTAAAATTGAGAGTGGATTTAAAATGACTGATAATGAAACAATAAAATCAAAATCCAACTTACATTTGTTTATTATCCATCGATGTCAGCAGGCGCCGGATGACAGGTGACGGTTTATTATAACACTCACAATTATTATAGTTTATATGAGTTGGGATAGTATTATTTAGATAATTATGTATGGATTGTATCAAAAATGAAGTGTTTATTAACTATTTAAGATACAATCCACATTATAGGTAATGAATTGTGATTAGGTGTTGGAATTGACTAAGTGTTTAAAATGTAATTTTAGTGTAGCATATTTTTAGGATTTACATTAATTTATATAAACATTAATTAAGGTGACCGTAAGATATAATGACAAAAATTAACAAAAAGTTACATTTACTTTATAAAAAGTTTAAAAATTTATATATAAAAAAAATTATTCAAAACCGAAGTTAAAAAAATTAATTAAAGAAGAAAATACAAATTAAATATTGAATATTAAAGATTAAATAGTTAGTTTAATTATTTAGAATTAAGTATAATCATCAAAAAAAATAACCGATTATAATAAAATCCGGTCACCCTATTTCTAATTCTGAATAATATTTAACACCACGAAAATTGAGCTTGATGAAGACTTGTAAATAAATATTCAATCGTAATTAGTTTGTAATAATGTTGTAGTTGAGTAAAAAATTGGAACTATCCATAATAATCAGTTTACTAATAGGTATATATATGACCAAATGCCTTGAGAGATTGTAAAAGAAATCCTCATCAGGTCAGATTTCAAGATGAACACTTTATTATCAATCGGCTAGATGATCCAAAACAAAAGAATATGTTGCGCTCTTTATATGCAAAGCTGGTATAATCGAACCATATAGGTTCGAAAGACAAAGACTCTCCCACGAATATATAATTCACAAGGTAACAACCAACCCTAAAAAAAAATCATATCTGATAAAGATATAATTAGCCCAGATATCCTTATAATGCTTACCACGAAATTAAGTTCAATCAATTCTTTATAGTTTAATTAATACTTTTCACAAATCAGAATATGGATTTTTCTATAAGTTGGTACAAAATCGAATTATGGTCAAATTTAAACAAAAAAATTCACCGTATCACAACCAAACAATTGAAATATTTTTATTTGTTTGATGAAAATTTAACAAAATTTAGACAATTAAATTTCTATGAAATTAAAGCCTACTAAATGAAAATAAAATAAAAATAAAAAAAAACTACTCTACACTCAAACTAAAAATTTGTAAAACTAATAATTCTATACCAAATAAATGAAAGAAAATCACTAAAAATTTTAGCGAAAATTGTCACCCTCACAGTTATTGTATCGATCGGTAGCGAGCATTTTAAGGTCCCTAATGCCTAAATCTCTATGTTCGACCTTTAAACATCCGTTCAGCACTTGTCCGTTCACCTCACTACGACTTACTGGAGTCAAATATTTCTTGACATCAAATTGTCGAATCACGTTCATCACTATTGGGCTGATAAATCCTCGCTCATTGTCAGTCACTAAAATACGTGGTGTCGAGAAGTAATTAAGGATTTCTATAATTCTCTTCCTCATTTGCAAGGCTGAACGATTCCTAAGAGGAAAAAGTTTCCCAAATTTTGAAAATTTATCCAAGACACTAATAAAATACTCATTTTGGAGTACAAAAATATCCATGTGCAGTATTTCACAGGGATAAGAAGGAATCGGAGTTGCCTGAAGCTTAGATATCGGCGGATTCCAATCATATTTGTTAGCCTTGCATATTTCACAATTCCTCGTATATCTTCCTACAAGACTGTTCATCCTAGGGAAATAGTATTTTTCAAGAGCTGTAGTTTATTCTCGTCTTTATTCCTATGTGCCCTTCTGTGCCCATATTATATCAAGGAACAGACCCTATCTGGACAAGTTACATCCTCTACAAGTCTCTGAGTGATGAGTAGCTTATAATGTGAAAAGTGTTCCAAATAAACCTCCTGTAATAATCACAAATACTGTTCAGGAATTTTAATTCCATTTAAGACATCAGGTCTAAGTTTTTCCCTCAGGATTCGTGTAAGATTTTCCCTGCTAATTTCTTCCAAAGATATGATGTGTCGGTTGTAGCCAGGATGAGGATTAATATGTGCAATCATATCTGATTGGAATTTTCGTATTATAATCTGATTACGAAAAACATTAATTGGAGCTTAGACATGTGGAATCAAATCTGTGCCATCCTGTTCGGCGCTATGTACGGTTCCCTCGCTAGCTGTTATAGTAGCTAATCCGTTCCCTATCGTTCCCTCACTAGCTGTTACGGTATCTGAGTCCTCACTTCCTACCCTACCTTCACTTGCAGTGTCAGTGGAGGATTCATCCGCAATATGGACACACAAATCTGTAGATGCAGTTCTCGAAGTCTGCTCAGCTTTCACTGAGTCGGCTGAGTCTGCTTTTAAGCGAGATAAGGCGTCGGCTACTACATTGGATTTCCCTGGTTTATATATAAGTTCGAAGTTATATTCCTCTATCCTAGACTTCCACCTTTTCAATTTCGCTCATGGCAAACGTCAGAGGTTGGTGATCGGTAAAAATGCGTATTTTCTTAGCTCCATACAGGTAGGAGCGAAGATTGTCCAATGCCCAAACTATGGCGAGCATCTCTTTCTCGTTCGTGGCATATGCCTCCTCTGTCCTGTTCAAAGAGCGAGAAATAAAGGTTATGGGTTTGTCCTTTCCCATTTCCCCTTGAGACAGTACTGCACCTAAAGCACTGTTAGAAGCGTCCGTCGTAAGATTAAATGGTTTGTCAAAGTCCGGGAAGGCTAATACTTCCGATGACGTGAGCAACTCATTAAGCTCGTTAAATGCTTGTAGCTCTTCCTCCCCGAGAATAATTCTAACTTTCTTCGATCGATTGGCCTTGACTTGTGCCATCTCGCCACGAGTGAGAGTGGTTAAGGGTTAAGCTACTTTGGCAAAGTCCTTAATGAACCTCCTATAATAAGATGTTAATCCCAGAAAACTTTTGAGCTCTTTCAGGGTCTGGGGTGGCACAATGTCAAGAATTGCCCTCACCTTCCTTCTATCAGGCAGTATACCATCCTTAGTAACCACATAACCAAGGAATTCGACCTCGCTTTTCATAAAAGCAGTTTTCTCCAAATTAACCCTAAGGTGAGCGTCTTTTAGACGCTGAAATACTTTCCTAAGGTTCCCTAGGTGTTCCTCAATATTACCCCCGTATACTATTATGTCGTCTATATAGACATAACATATTTTCCCTATACAGACTCGCAGGACGTCATCGACCATACGCTGAAATATAGCAGGCGCATTCCGTAGGCCGAACGGTAGCCTCAAAAACTCATACTTCCCATTCATTGTGGAAAAGGCTGTCTTTGGAATATCCCTTAGATTCATTGAAATCTGACGAAACCCCGAAGTGAGGTCAAGGGTTGTAAAATAAATAAAGTTGAATTTATTTCGGGAATTGGATATGTATCAGGTATGGTGACGGCATTCAGTCTTTTGAAATCCACCACCATCCGATATTGTTTCTCTCCATTTGGATTAGGTTTCTTTGGGACCACCCAAATGGGAGAATGATAAGGACTTCTTGACGGCCGTATTAAATTATTATCCAGAAGTTCTTCTATTTGTCTGTCCACTTCAGCACGCATACAAGCTGGATAAGGATAACTCTTTGAGTATATTGGCTCATCAGTGGTACACCGTATCTCCGCCCTAATAGATGTTGCTGCCAATTCGTTATTTATTGGTCCAAATATGTCAAAGGTCACATATGGCTATAAGGTCACTCAATGTAGTGCATGATGGAAGTACGTTAATTTCGTTCAATGTCTGAATTCTAAGTGGTATACTGATCCCTGGCGAGATTGTCAGTGTATTATTTTTGTGGTCTATTATAGCTTGAAGCTCACGTAGAGTATCGTCGCCGATTATACCATTGAAAGATGTGAATCCTGGGGTAGTACATAGAATGTAATTGTCGTATCGTTACCAAATGGGCAAAGAATTTCCCCTTTACCTTCTCACTAATTTGTACTCTCCCTGATGCAGTAGGAACATAAAATGATTTATCTAATTTCTTTGAACTGGGGCATAAGGCTGGCTTAACAAAGTTTTTGGTAGCCCCTGTGTCTATTAAAAATTTTATTATTGAGACATCCTTTAATTCATTGCTTACGTACGGTAAGCCGGAAAGGCACGAGTCCGAAAATTTATTTCCTCGTCTGCCGGTTCGCCCTCATTGTCCTCTTGTGTCATGTTAAAAATTCTCTGTTGTTTAAACGGGTGTTGTGCCGACCCGGGACGAACCTGTTCCGAAAAGGCCCGCCTTTTGTGGTTATTCCATGGTCGGTTACCGGTCCCCCTAGATTGCGTACTCTGATCTATGTCCATTGGTTCTGATTTGTGGGGAGCAGGCTGTTGCGCAACACGCCGTGGCTGAAATTGTCGGTTTACAAAAGGGTTCGCTTGAGGTTGATACCGGTTTTTCGGTACAAACTTTTGGAAGGAAGCTTGGTTTCGAGTCTTACTTGGGTGGCGATTCGGAAAGTTATTGAATCCCATTGGAACCTGGACCCTATTTTGACCATTAACCGAATGCAGGGAGCCCTTACTTCTGTAATTGGTATTTCACAATTCTAAACATTGCGACTATGCCTCAGGAAGTGTCTTGGGCTTCATGAGCATTATCATCTTTGACAGCTCGCCGTTAAGACCCCTCATGAAAACTTCCAGTGTCCTATTCCTATAAGTCTCTATTAAAACGTTAGTCGTTTCCTCAGAGTAAGCTTCCGTCTTCAGTTTGTTTATGATCAGGGAGAACTGGTGATTTAGTGTAGCGTAGAACTCGTCGACGCTCATACTCTTCTGGGCTAGTTGGGTTAACTGATGTTCTAGTGTGCGAACATCTCTTTTGTCTGCATAATGCAGAGAAAGACAGTTCCTTATCGATGCCCAATCTTCATCGAATATGTTGTAGGAGGTAAGGGCGGCATCAGCCTTTCCTCTACATTTTCGGCGTATAGACTGAACAATGGCCCTATATATCGGCTTCTGCCGGACGATCTCATAGTCCTCCAGGATACTCTCCACGCTATGTATCCAGGATACATACTGCGTCCTTTACACAGTCGGGAAGTTTTCCTATTTCGTTCAATTCAGTTTCTGTGGTTGGAGCAAGCAGGGGGGGAGGAGGACTTTCGCCCTCAACAATCGAAGGATTACTGGGCATACGTTCTAAATCCAGCGTTCTCTGATCCAGAGTTTTTAGCTGGTTTAGAACGGTGTTTAGGCGCCAGTTAACTCTTTTACCTTACTTTGCAAATGTTCCATTCTACATACACATATACATAGGAATTTGCTTTTTAACTTCACAGGTTCTTCCCTCTATATTTTCACAGTCACTTTTCCGGGATATGCCTTCCAATAATAACCTTTTTTCTCTTCAAATTAGTTCACTGGTAGTCACAGGATCGAAATTTCACTTAATTGTCACTGTTCTTTCTTTAGGTGGATCCTCTTTTCCACAAAACAAAATTTTAAATTTCACTATTTCTTTTTTATCTTTTCCAGTTTTTATTATTTAGTTTCTGGAGGGTCCCGCAGGAATCGCAGAAACTTATTTAATTTTATAAGGACTCCGCTTTTTCTTGCCGGGTCCCTGCTCGGGCGCCAGTTAACTTCCTTCGTTATGCGAATATAAAAAAAGTATAATTATGGACACTATAAATGAAACACGTTAATTTTAGGTTTACAATTTTATTTAACGACCGCTTTGGTCAATTTCCCAAGTAGGACTGACTCTAACAATATTTTTTAAATGTTTAAATCTAAATAATTCTGCTGATACAACTTATTCAATTCCCACGTTGTGCAATCTTCTAGACGAAATATGATTCTGCATACTAGCTTGCGCGTGTGCACCGTCAGCACAACCTTGTGTAGATTTTTCCCGCTCATGTATACTCGATCGTGTTAACTTACATATATTTTATGATGTTGTGTATGGTATGATTTATTTTGAATACTCTAATAACAAATTAATGGGAGTATTCATTTCTATTTACATTTTCTTCTCTAGAATACTTTTAAAATTATAGTATATGGCTCAATATTAACATATCAAAAATATAAATTTTATATATTAAAGAAAAATACTCTTTTTGTTAATTATTCTATTGCTACTGAATCACTAATATTTCTACTTTACTTTGCAATCAATACTCTATATATGTACATTAGAGTGATTCAAGCTTGTTTGAAGGAAAAAAAATTTGTCTGATAGGCCGTCTCCCCCTCCAGAATAGTTCTATGGGTTGTAAAACTATTTCATACAAAAAATTAGGCTGATTGGATAACGGTAACAGGCACCGCAACGGCTCTGAAGTTTCCAAGTGCATTTACAAGGGGAAAATATAGATTTTTTCAGTTTTTGCTCAAATTTCGCCATTTAGTAATAAATTTTGAACTTTATTGTAAAGAAATCATAATGTGCACAGAGTAAGCATTTCGGAAAGATATAAAACACAAAAATAGCTTGAAAACTTTAAAAGTTATAACAAATTCCCCAGGCCATTAACGTGTCTCACTGCGCATAAATTCGAAATGTGACAAAAAAATCTCAGCTATGGTCAAAAAAGTTTGATTTTTTTCAACGGCCGTTTCAAATCATCAATTTCAGTTTTTTTGAAACTTTGGTAAACAAATTTCAAAATTTTTAGGAGATCCTATTAGGAATTTATGTTCAATAGATAGGGCTATTAAACGGTAAAAAAATTATATCAATAATTCTTACCGTTTAGCTGTACCTGCGATTTGAACTCGGCGTATTTCGGGAAAATCGCATTTTTTTGTAATATTTTAGAGAATACGCATAAATTCTTTACTGTTGCATATTTTACATAAAGTATTATCAGACTAATATAGTTCACATAATATAAAATATATATCCGAAGTTTTATTAAAATCGGACATTCTTAACCCATAAACTGTGGAGTTCAAAGGTCTAATTTTGCAATATTTGAGAATTTTTAATGTACCATATAGAAATAATATTTATTTGTCGGCCATATTTACCAAACATGACTGGAATTTATCGTATGTAGTCCAATACTTAAAATAGAATGAAAAAAGGTAGATTAACCCTTTAAGGCACTTGGGAATAATTTAACAACAAAGTTCAAAAATTCGAAAAAACACTATATATTTGAATAATGCTCTATATAATTAGAGGAATAACAGAAATAAAACAATTGTTCAATTCACAATCAAGTTGTATATTGTACCTACTAAAGTGTAGTAACAGTGATTGTGAACAGATCTTTGCAGCAAGTCATAAGTTTATGTTCTCAATGAAAAAAAAATAATCAAAACAAATATACATAAGAATGTCAGAAGATAAAAAAATCAAAAAATATTAAATTAATTAAACATGCGAAATAAACCAAATTAATTTCTTTGAATTTTCAATTCTTTTATTTTCTTTATTCCACATTTTAAACTAATAAATAAACTGTTTTTAATAAAATTTTTGTTTTTTTTGTTTTGGTAAACAGCTGTTTGTTTTTGATTTCAGTGTTACCACTTTATCGTTTTTTTATGCTAAATTCGTTTGAATTTTTTGTTTATATGTTGAAATAAACAATTGGCAACACTAAACTTTCTTACAACATTCGAAAAACATATGAAAAATTGTCGTAGGAGTTGTATAGAGCTTTTGCATAGAAAATACCAACAACATTGTTATGACTATTGTAGCAGCTGCTGACATACAACGCTACAACATCGATTGTGAATTGAACAAATAAATTCTATATTAAGCAGAGACTGAAAATAACGGGTCCACTTTGTTTTTATAAGGTTAATTGCTGTGATCACCATTTATAATTGTGTTTTTGCAGTTTATCACTGAGAGAAACCTTTATGTTAGATTTTTTTTAATAAGTGGTTGAGAGAAACCGAAAAGAAAAACAAAATAACTCGCTACAATTGATTTTTATTTTGTAAACATTTTTGAAAAGGTTTGCTTATGATTTTTATTTTTAAAAGCAAAACAATAAATTGCAAATGTAAATACACTATTAGGACACACATACACACATACTTTCTTCAGAAATCATAGCAAACAACAACAATGTACTCTCCCACTCTCATACAAGCAAGAAAAAAAAGGAATACAAGAACCAAGTGCTCAGCCAAAAACATAAGTAACAAAACAAAAGTATTAAAGGTTATTGTAAACCATTTAAGTAAAAATCATTTTATAACTGTTATTCTGAGTGATTTATTTTAAAAAACAAAAATAAATCACAATTCAATCACTTTGGTCATGTGGCCCAGTTATTTTCAGTCTCTGATATTAAGTATAAAAAATTACACTTTAACCCTTTTTGGCTATAGAGTAAACTTGAGGTGCATATTTTTAAAAGAACAATTTTGTTTTTAAAACTGATAATATCCTTTTTCGGTCGATTTTCAATCAAATATGTCTAAAAATACAAACTTTATATGGTCAAAAAGGGTTAATTCATAAGTTTTTATACTTAATATAGAATTTTTTGTTTTATTTCTGTTATTGCTCTAATTATATAGAGCACTATTCAAATAGAGAGTGTTTTTTCGAATTTTTGAACTTTGGCGTTATATTGTTCTCAAGTGCCTTAAAGGGTTAATCTACCTTTTTTCACTCTATTTTAAATATTGGACTACATACGATAAATTCCAGTCATGTTTGGTAAATATGGCCGACAAATAAATATTCTTTCGATGTGGTTCACAAAAAACTCCCAAATATTGCAAATTTTGACTTTGA